ATTTATGATAATAAAAGTTGCATGAAATTGTCAATTGGTTAAATGAATTCGTGGTGAGCTTAGCCTACTGGATTACGCCAGCCACGGTGCGACGCGTCACAGTTTCTTGGCAACCAAACAGGCGAAACGTGCCGACCAATCAGAAGTCGTGCAATCCAGACTGAAGCTGTGACATCAAGAATACAAGCAGACCATTGGTGGATACCTGTATGACCAATAAACTTCCTTTATTTGTTATTTATCATCTATTTCTCTCAATAAATTAACCGGTACTTCTGTGACCTTTTCCTTCGTCTCGGTGACGGGAGATTCCGGCGTATAAGTGCTATTGTGATTCAGTGTTTCAGTTGCGTTCGTGATTCGTGATCTGTGCCTACTACGACTACTACGGAACTACCATACTTGGTCAAAATAAAGCTATAAAATTTAAAGATAGCCAGTAAATTGCAACATCAAAACGTCTTCCACAGAGTATCTATTTCTAGTTTTAGGTCACAGTAGTCATTGTATTCTTGTCATCTGACCCAATGTGAATTTCTCATGGTTGGGGAAATTATCAGTACACGAATATTAAACGTCTTCTTTTGTGTGAATACTTCGAAATTACTGTGCATTTTTGAGTGAGAATGAGTCACTCTCTGTTCAATATATTCAGGGCACCAACTAAGAAATTTCAATCTGTGCCGGTCACAAGCATGTTCCGCTCAAAGTAATCGTAAAACCATCCTTGAGGTTGGTCAAATATTGTCGGATCTATGGCCCATTCCATATCAAGAATTATCGTAAAATACATAAATTTGAGTCGCTATTTAAATAGAGTTTTTCCTAAAATCTCACATTTCATGCAAAATCGGTTTTCCTGCAACAAACCCTCAAACGTTTGAGGATGACTGACTCAGTAGTGGTATGACTGGACCACACCGTCTTGGATCATTCTTAATGGACCTTTTGTGATCTGTGTTCTGAGGAGCCATTGGAACAGTCCGGTACATTGCAATTTCCTANCCCACGGGCTTTCGCTGAACTGAGTGGGCAGGAAGCCAATCTGTGGAGCTGTAACCAATTTGACGAGTCACCAGCCTCTAACTCCATTGCACGCCATTAGACTATTACCCAAACACATACAGATGTGATGCATATTTTTTCTGCTTTCTTGGCTCACGTTAATTTTTGACCTTTAAAAGATTGCTGTATTGGTCAATTTGACTTCTTGATGCGGTCCACGGATATTTTATTGATCAATGCAAGTTGTAAAACCCTGAATGGATGGATGGACTGCTTGATTTGCTCTCACCGATTCAACTGAACGATGTAGTGTGTTAAGCATATCGACCATGAGAGTCCCAACCCAAGCGTCTATAATTCGACTGACCTCCGAAACACTGCAAACTCAAAGTTCTACCCGTACTGCGTTGTGTTCTAAACTAGTCTGGAGATGATTCAATCAAGGTGCCTCAAGTAACAGTTCCACTCTGACTTTAGTGACCCAGTAGTAAAACAGACTATAACATTGATATTACCATGGAAACGGTCGCGGTCACACATGGAGTTGATATTTATTTTATCCCAAGCGAGTGAGGAAACAAATAACATAAAATATCGAGTATCTTAGAAAAAAGACAAAGTTTGAATGTGCCTATGAGGTGAATGTTACCCCTAAATGAGTAGTAGGCGAAATGCAAACCACTATATTGATTTCAGTAATACAGTAGAACATTTTTGGAGACACGATAAATCGCTTTTCAGGTTTTATTATAGAATCAGTCTCGTGGCAAATTGCTTAGGGCATACGAACCCAACTCACCACGTGATTTCAACTTCGCTCACGTTCTTGAGCACGATACAAACAAGGATACACGAAGAAAAATTAAAAAAAAATCAAATAAGTTCAAATCCATTATGTTACAGCTTTATTGACGATAATAATTATCACGTTGATGACGAGAATACGGGTTGAGCACAAAGTAAAATCGTGAACTGTAAGCGGAATGTGAATGTGGGTGGAGCCAGTTGCGAAAAAAGCACAACAAATTCGCACACTTTTGCTGAATTGCTTGCTCGAGCCAAGTACGCCAATCAGCCAACCAGCCAGGCCCTATTGTGCACCCCTCGCGTCAATCTGGATGCTGCTGCCACTTTGTAGATAGGCATCACCACAGTGAATTGGCATTCTTTGAACTGAGGTTCACGTAATCGCGCTATCTGACAAACAACTTCGAGTCCGAGTTGTCAAGGCCAGCCTGAAACAAATTGACACATGGATCACGTGTCAGCATCGGTGAAAGTGAGTTCCACTGCCAACAACATGCACAACAACAAACACGTAATCTCTTCCAGTTATGGTTGATAATCGTGATGGGTGTGTGACGACGATTCCGGGGTTCAAGTATAAACACGAGCGTAGTGCTAGTTTCTGTCAGTGTTAGTAACAACATTGACATTTGTTTGAATTAACGTTGAGCAGTAGCTTTTCTCTATGTGTATCGTTACGTGTGCCACGTCCTTCGGCGTTCGAATGCCTTTCGCCAAATACAATCTTTATGAAGGCGAGGAGGGGAATTAGCAGTAACCCACCGAATACAACAAATTTGTATACTTCCGTTTGAACATATAACTGAGAAGACAGGAAACAGATCAAGCTGGTAGAGTACGATAAAGTGTAGTTGACAGTTACGGTAACAATGATGCCATCCACGTCTGTTAACCATCGTTGTTGCTGGTATTTTTGTGACGTAACCCTATTGGTGATGAACCAGTTCAGAAATTGGATAGCCAAAAACCAAGTGAATAAATTTTCCAGCTACGTTAATCAGACTAATGGATGGGGCAAAGTAGCAAGAGTCTTCTTTCTTTTCTTCAAAGCAAAGTACAAACCCATGACCGGTG